GGGGGGGGGGGGGTATTATAAGTTAATTTTATGATAACTATAAACATACTAAATTTAAGTTAGTAATTAAATAATACAGTATTATTAAAATTAATTAAATTAGTATTAATTAAAACTTAAAATTAATTGTAAAACTCATGTACACTATTGGGCGACAGTTGTGCTTAAGTTTGCCAACAATTAGCCGACCATTTGTGGCCACAAAACGGTTTATTAAGCCATTCATCGCTTTAAACGGTTAAAGTTTAACCACTTATTGATTATAATTAAAACAAATATTACAACAAAATATTGAAACAAAAAAAATTGTTATTTAAATAAATAAATGAAATAAAATGCAAAAATATTTACACAATAAATGTTTAATAGCTTTCACACCAGAAATAACAAACAAATTACAATCAATGCACACCTGTTATGGCCATGTATTTGTAAATCACGTCCACTATTATACACCAACATAATGGTCCCCCTCCATGGCTGGCGCACGTGTGAACAGCTAATGTATTTCCATAGCGAGCGCATCCATAGCGGCCATCAAACACCTGCACTAAACTCACACGTAATCTATGGCTAACATGAATGGCGGCCACACGTGTGGCCGATAACGCGTGTGAATCACGTGATCACTCAATACAGACGTCAATGAAATTTTTTGTTTTGTTTTTTATGATTATTTGCATTGAGTTTAACATTGAATTCAATTGTTATGTAATAAACAAACCGTTGATAACAAACACTCCTCACAGACAAAGACAAAGACAAAGACAATTGTCTTCAGCAGTCAGTCAGTCATCAATTGGTCACCAGAAGAGTCACACAATCGCATACACAATACACTATGACTACTATCACCACCAGCTGTTCCGCAACCCCGGAGACCAGCGGTGCCGATGGCGGCCACCGATGTCGGGCTGTCCTGCGGTCGGCCACAAGACACCGGCGATCGATGGACCGCTTTGGCGACGACCTCTGCCAACACCTGTTGTCCTACTTGTCGTTCGAGGAGCTGTTCCGCTACGAGTGTGTCTGCCATCAGTGGCAACGGCTTGTGTTCGCCCGCCAGCGGACGCTCAACATTGAGTACAACTGGACGTCGGTATTCCTCCCGACCCGAGAGGGGCTGGTCTTCGCCCGCAACCAATCCATACTCCGGAAGTGTCGCGAAGTGAGCGAAGTTTGTGTCAATAAGTTTGTCAATAATCGCCGCGAAGTGTTTGATGTGATCAACAAATACTGTCACCGATTGGCGGCCATTGAGTCGGACTTTGACGCCATGCCGGCGGCCACTGTCAACAGGTTTTGTCACCGCTTTGGCGATCGTCTTCGGCGGGTGTGCTTTCATTCGGATAACGAGATTAATCGGCAGGTGTTTCGCCGCTTTACCGGCGTTAACGCCCTCGACATCAAGGCGTTCAGCGATCTGTCGTTTGTCTTCGGCGGCGCCGGTGGACACCAGTCACCCATCTCTACCACCGGTGGCGACAGCGATGGCGAAGTGTTGGTCAACAAACTGCGGGAGATATCCTTCACGTACACCAACGAAGACCAGCGGCGAATCGGTTCCCTCTGCGCCCGCAATCGGCGCACACTTCGCTCCATTGAGATCCTATTCTCGGCCAATCCGTTGACCCAGAAGTCGGTCAACAGTCTGTTCTCAGCGGTCAGCACTCTGTCGGAGCTGCGAGTGCTGGTCATCGGGTGTCACGCCGAGATTGACGAGTCGTTCGGCCGGTGTCTGCGGCTGATCGCCACCCGCTGTCTGCGGCTCAAGAAGTTGGACATCACGCTGAGTAAGAGTCAGTGCGACGTTTCAGCCGAGATGTTTCAAACGCTGGACCGACTGCGACAACTGCGCCGACTGTCGCTCAAACTGCACTTCCATACGCCAGACCTGGACCCGACTCGGGTGACCGCCGAGGCGTTGCGCCACTGCCGCCACCTGACACACCTGCGCGTCATATCCAACCACTGTCTCATCACTGATGACTTCTTCGCCGCCATCGACCGCCATCTGCCGCGACTCCAGGCGCTCGAGCTCTGGAGCGTCGACGTCACGGACCAGACGTTTCACTCGTTGGCCAAATTGTCACAATTGCGGTCAATCTATTTGGTGTGTCTTAAGTCGAACGCCCGGATCAACGCGTCGGTCGTCGAGGAGGTGCTGATGAAGAGGTGTCCGAAGATTAAATCGGTTTACTTTCGTAATCATAGCTATTGTCTGGAACTCAAGAACTGATCCCATGTAATGACCGGATGGACACACATATCAATCAATTTGTTTTTTTTGCATTACATATAAATATATAAATTTAATTAAATGTTATATTTTGCTGTTATAGTCAACACTCGTTATAGTGAACTGATTGTTAAACCCATAGCCCATGTTGTTTGTGATATTGTTACAGTACACACACGCTATAACGTTCACTATAACGAGTGTACACGTTATCACACATACCGTACAAATACAAAACCGGTGACAAAATGTATTAATTAATGTAATTCTATACAAATTGTTATGTTTTAACTGCTATTATATTTGATGCCAACTATTAATTGTATTGCAAAACGAGTCATAAATAAATAGGCAATTGATTTGATTGTCAAACAAATAAGTATTGGATTTTATTTCATTATTTAATTAAAAACATGATTTAAGCCTCGATTATATAACACGTATAAAACATGTATCAAAAGACGTTTTGTTTCACTCAAACAAAGTCGAGTCAATTGTGGTGTAAATAAACTAAGTATTCATAAAGTAGTTTATAAAGACTTTTATACAAAATATATTTAAATATATAAACTATTTAATTGATTTGATTGATTGGTTTGGTATATAAAAACATCTAACACTAATTTCTTGGGTAAAAAACAAACTATGCGATTGTAGAAAACGTGGTAATTATTCCTCGTGAGCATCAATTGATAATTACATGATTAGAAGACACGGATTAGATGGTAGAGTAAGTATAGCTAACAGACATATACAGTACGAGGTCTTAGTGGTCAGACAATCACGTATTGAACACCACTTGTGTGATGGCCTGCCGGCGCTTCAACCAATTCAAGTACAACTCGATCACCCGTTTCGGGTCTTCGAGTTGCGGGTAGTGACCAATCCCTTGGGCCAACTCATCCAGACTGGCGTCGGGTATGATCTGGCGATAAGTGGTGGCAAACGGCGGCGGATTCACCGGATCCGACGGCCCGTATATCATGTGCAACGGTATCCGATTGGTGCGTACGGCGCCCACCCATCGGTCCTCATTCTTGTGCCGCTCGTCAATGTAGGCCAAGAGGTCGCCCATCACTCGGTAGCCGTCCTTCTGGCGGATCAGTTTCCACATGTCGTGATAGTCGTCACGCGATGGTTGACTATTGGCGCCAAACACTTCGCTCAGCGACCACTTGAACACATAGTAATTGGTCAGTTTGGACACCACTGTACCCAAGATTGGCATCCGGAGCACCTGTTCATAATCAACGGATCAATTATTAAGTGATTCTTCAATTAGACAAATAGATAATCAATTGGTGACAAACATTTTGCATAAGCCGTGGTCTGTGAAGTGAGGGGAAAACACCGCCGTTTAATAGACACACCGTTTCGATGGAACCGAAACTCAATTTACCACCACTGATGGTGTTATCGCCATCATTATCATCAAAATGAACAAGGTTTATGTTTTAAATATAGGCTAAACATTATTTTGTTTAAATATACAGACATTTGTCTGGCCATCAGTTCCTGGGCTACGGTAACGCTGTAATCGTGAGCCAAAATGTGTACTTTCGGTGCGTTTATCTTCTTCAGCAGCGCCTCTATTATGTCCGACTGTTCGTACATTGAATACGTGTGGAACCGCTATATGTGTGGACACATTAAGACAATTAAAGACACACAATCAACACATCAAATGAGAGAGAGAGAGAGAGAGAGAGAGAGAGAGAGAGAGAGAGACGTATCAAAAATAAGTAACCGGTTTATCGCTCAAACCGAAGCCCAATAAGTCGGGTGCGATCACACGGCGGACATTCCTCCTGAGGTCGGGTAATATCTTATACCAATCAAAACTAGATGTGGGAAAGCCGTGCAGTAACAGCACTGTTATGTCATTGGCTCCGGCGGTCACTTCATCTGCCAATCAAAATACAAAATCAATTAACAAAAGTTTGTCCACATTTGTGGCGGCCATTAAGAGGGGGAGGTGTGGGGTATCGACGGGGGTATCAAACCTTTGTAAAAGACTCGGTAGCCCTTGAAGTCCATGTGTTGGCCACTGGACTGCCATTGATATAATAGTGGACTGAGTGGTGGCTCCGGATAGTTGACGTATACCGTGAATACTATAGCCAATGCAACCACAAATATGCTCAGGGTGTTTACCAAAAAGCCCATGGTACAATTAATTTGCCGGTCTCTTCGATAACAACAGGTGTTCACAAAGTATTGGTTTTTAACTGTTTTTGAATTAGTTTTTTAATATCACATAATATTTAGTAATTTTATTGTTGTTTTTAATTATAATTATTAATAAATGCTTTAATTTTTATGATTTATAAAATGTTTTGTAAATAAATTGATGAATTTTTTTGTACACTATTTGACAAACATTAACACAAAAATAAACTTCTCATTCAATGAGTGCTATTCAGTGAACATTCATATATACTGTTACGTGTAGTTTTAGCATTATCATTTTTCAACACTACCAGTTTGTTTTAATTAATTAACACAATCTTGGTACATTGATAATTAAACATCTTTACTGTAATAAAATCCACGAGTTTAATTTTGTTCAAATTATTTTAGATAGATCATTTTTATAAACTTAAACTACAATTAATTCGCATTACTAGTGATAACGTTTAGCACTATAGTGCACTTTTTGCACTAATGTACTTTTTGTACTTGTGTACTTTTTACACTACAATATATTCACACTATTTGTCCTAATGCAGTTTTGTACTTTAAATTGTACTCGTCTATTCCTAATCTAAATAAAATAAAATTCAAAAATAGCAATCAATATATAATTACAGCATGTATTATAAATGTCACCCCGAGTTCACACCAAAAAATACTCAATTATTATTGAGATATGCGATGAGTAAAGCGGCCCAGAATTGTGGCCATAACTCGCGACATACGCTTCACTCAAAAGTTTTCACTTTAAACTTTTAAAAAGTCATGTATTCCTTATGGAGAAGTTTTCCTAAGAGAAGTTTCATTCACATAATAAGTATAGGAAATCCAACAAATATTTCAAAAAGTTTCTTATGTAGAGGATTTTCCCCAATAGAGAGATTGCACTGTAAATAAACATGGCACATTAAATATCAAATAAATTAAAAACAATTCAGTAAACAGATTTGACAATATTGCTAAATAAATTGCACCAAACACGTACACAGGATAGTATAATGAAAATAAATTAAAATTTACTTTACCTATTAAATTACCTTAATTAACTAGGGTAGCCACAAGTCCACTAATTAGAGTTTGCCTCCATTAGGTTCAATAGTAAAGATTGTAATATTTTATTTTAATTTAAACAAACAGATTTTAGTTCAAATTATACAAATATTTTCAGTAATATTTTTTTAATAATTAATAGTTTATTATTTTATATAAGATTCTTGTGTGTGTATATTAACATTGTCCATAGGTTTAATACGAGTACAATAGATTTGTCATCGACTTAGCACTAATTCCATATAGTTAAAATGCATTAGTCCTATACGATCAATATTATCCATAGACTCAACATTGTCCATAAGATTAGCATTAATCCCATAAACTTAACATTACTCACAGGATAACATTAGTCCCATAGATTTATCATTGTTTATAGACTCAGAATTACCCGTGTTAACCCTATATCATAGACTTAGCACTGTCCATATGATTAGCATTGGTCCCATAGATTTACTATTGTCCATTAACTTACCATTAGTCCTATAGACTTAATATTGTCCATAGGATTAGAATTACCCATGTTAAACCTATTTTAAAGACATAAAATGTAATACCATAAAATCCCATTAAAAATTTATCCCATAGAATGAACATTACACATAAGATAACATAAGCCCAAGTTAAAGTATAGTCATAAACATAAGATAAGATCCTATGTTAAATCCCATAGGGTAGAGGACGTGGAGGGAGCAGAACAATTTTTTGTTGTTGCTTTAGCTTTATTGTTGGTAAAAATATATCCAATATTTTTTGGCAGATTTTAGAGCAAAAGTCTAATTTTATATATTTACAAGTTGGTCATTCTAAATAAACATATTTTTAAAAATACAAATTCGTACACACCTCATGTAAAGTGCCAACAACGCGCTAAATATGGCTACGCTAATAATCGCACTAATCGTTGTTAGCCTTATAAATGGATCATCACTGAAACTTCGAGACAAAGGAAAAGATAACTACGGGGGGAGTAAGCAGTTAAGTGAAGCAGGCAAGCAATCAAGGGAACCAAGCAAGCAAAATCTTCAGTTCATGTACTTTATGGAAAATTATGATCCCAATTGCGAAGATGGTTTGGCAGGAAAATGCAAATCTGATTCAAGCAAAGGACCCGGTTTTTGCAAAAAAGAACGTATAGGTGATACTATAAAAGAGAAGTGCCTGTTCCCATCTGAAATAGACCAATACAACCGTCGTGCCATAAAAACCAATGAGATAATAGTGAGCGAGATAGCAAAAAAAGCATCTAATCGGCGCAAACTGACCAGAAAGCAAATGGCCTCTTTTAACACCTATGTAAAAAAGTATTCCCAGAATATACCGAAAATGTTCATTTTCAAGAAAAAAGAAACAGGGTGCAGGGATGAAAAGGAACAATGCGATCGTGGCAAGTTCTGCGTAGCACAAGAGTTTTATGAGTTTAATGAGAAACAACAGTTATATAGTTGCAAGCTCAAATCGGAAATAGAAGAGCACAACGCTCGTGTCAAAACATGGAACGAAGTAGCTAAATTAATAAATCGACACATTGAGTCTGTTAAAGCTAAGCGTGATGAAATAACCAAACTTGAAGATGAGCGTGAAGAACAAGCTGAGCGTAATGAACAAGCTGATAATGATAAAAAAAATAAATATTAACGGTTTATAACAAGTGTTTCACTTTTTTATAATATATAATATAATAATAATTAATCATTTATAATAGAATTTGACTAATTTAAATGTTGTTTTCAATAAGATGTGATTTAACGGCATAAATATCATTTGTCGAAATTGTAAAAATTATTAATAAATTATTTTATAATTAATCTGTTTTGTTAAATTTTATATTAATTTCAAAAAGTTTCCATAAGTTGTTGAATGTTTTAATTTAATTTGTCAAATATGTAATCGTAAATATATAAATTATGATATTATATTATTTTGCTTCTTTATTGTTGGCTGCTAACAAGTTTTTAGTCACAATTTTAGACTTATTAAAGTGAAAATATTATAATTTTTGCTCACATAAAATGTCAGTGAATTTTTGTGCGTAAGAATATTCCGGATCACGTGACTATATTCTTTAGAAGTTACCATTATCATATTGCAATTTTGTGTTTGATATTGTACTCTCATATATTTAAAATTAATTACAATTCAATAGCAATCAATATATTACACAATGTATTATAAATATCACCCCAGGTTATTTAACTATTAAAGTTATAGATATACAGTTATAGTTACAGTTATAGTTATAGTTATAGTTATAGTTATAGATGTACATTTGTATAAAGTCCTCATATATCCTTAAATGTCCATGATAACAAAGTTGTTGTGAACTTTTTGAAGTATCCATATCTCTGGATGGCTATCGACTGGCCATCGTTAGGTCGCGGACTTCAAATACGTGTTTGTCATGTGATAAGCAACTGATCCGCCGGTGATTGCAATCTGTGATTACAAATAGTTTGTTTTATTGTTCAAACTTTTAATCGATATTTTAATTAATATAAAAAGTAAAAACATATATCGATTTACGATTAATGTATACATTATTAAAATTAATTTATTTATTATAATTATTAAATATAATCTTAATTACAGTTATTATTAAAACTAATTATAACCAGAGATAACGGGGGCGTAAATATTGGCATAAGTTTATTAATGAACACGTTGTTTATGAAGGGCTCTCGCATTGCAATCATTGAATAGCAAAAATCAATTGTAAACAAAAAGCCAAACAAAACATTGAGTTTACGTTCAAAAGGTGTTTAATATTGAGAAAACAAATCGCAAACCATTTGAGAAATCAGTTCACAAATGATGTTATAATTAACGGACAGTTTGTGTGCAGTCTATGGCCGCGAGTAGTGGTGTTGAGTCGGGCCGCGCGTTGGCCACCGCTTTGCGGCCCGTATTGGAGACCTATCGGGTGCTGGCGTTGGAAGCGATCAACGACTGCCACTGCCGTCACAACACACCCGACGTGTTTCATCAGCTCATCAAATGGGAGCGACTGTACCATCAGATCAAAGCCACGGCCACCGCAGCTGATCCACCGCCGACCGCCACCGATGCCACACATGGTATGAGTCATACCGTATGACCCGTTTTGGGTGATGTAATCAATGGTAACATTATGTGTAACTAATTGTTTGTTTGGTATGTGTTTTGTTTGGATCAGTTGCTGACGACACCAGTGGTGGCCGAACGCCGGGATCAGATGTGGACGAAGAGTTGGTGACAGTGTTGTCGAGCTATCGTCGGTGCGCTTTGGACGCCATCAACGGGTGTCAGTGTCGGCACAGGTCTGCGTCCGATGTGTTCGCGAAACTAATCCAATGCGAAAGAGATTACCATTTAGTGAACGAAGAGTTTACCAAAACTAGTGATAATAATGAGCCGCTGATCACTGGCGCCGGCGGTGACGGGTTGTCCGCCGCCGTCGCCACTGATGTGATGGCCAACAGTGCCGATGAGTCCAAATCCATTGGCGGTGATAATGCGGCCATTGATTGCGATAATAAACTCCAGTCAGCGATGAGTGACACGAAAGCCGGCGAATTGTGTGACAATAAGTCGGCCGCAGTTGAGGCCAAAGTGGACTTAAAACTGGTTAAGAAACTACCGATTGATGACATAAAATGTGTTAAAATGGATATTAAAGTCGACATTAAGAGTGATGTCAAACGCGATCTCAAAACTGATATCAAAACTGATATTAAAACTGATATTAAAACTAATGTTAAAACTTATAGTAAATTAGATGTCAAAAGCGATGATAAAAGTATTGACACTTCGCCGCCATTAGAGTCAAAGAAGTTGTCGCCGACGAGAAGTGATACGAAACCGGCGGACAGTTGTCCGCAGAAGGAGTTGATTGATATAACAGATGACACTTCAAGTGATGGTATAATTTATCCGTTAAAATAGATGATAAAAATTATAATTTAATTATTTTTATCACTTATTGACAGACAATACGACCACTACTGGCGAAGAGTTGCCTAAAATCATTGCCACAGAAGAAGTGACAAATGTCTTAAATCATGTGATAAACACTAACACAACGCAAACCAACGAAAGAGTGCTATTGATCTATAAAGTGGTGCAATTGAACCAACCATTGGTCGCAACAACTATACCATCGGTGGTAACAAACATACCATCGGCGGTAACAGACATACCATCGGTGGTAACACATCTACAATCGTTGGTTACAAACATTAGTTTTGGTAGTAATAACAATACAAACCATACAGTCCTACAGTGCTATTCAAAGAGAGGCAAAACTCCAGACAATGACAGTTACGACGACAACAGCGCCGTTACCGACAGCCCATTACCGCCGCAGTTGTCGTCAGTATCGCCGGAACCGGTGGTCACAATCAAAAAGAGATCGATGTTTAAGTGCGCGGAATGTCGCAAAAAATTTAGGTTTGAGAAAAAGCTCAAACTTCACGTGAAATTAGTGCACACAAAACGGCTCGAGTGTACTCTCTGTGACTTTAAGGCCGTCAGAGCCGACACTCTGGCCAAACATCAGGCGAAGAATCATTCGTATAGACCATTGACGGGTCAAAAGCCGTCGCAAACCGACTCATTGTTGGCCACCGAGAAAACAGTGAGCGATAAACAGACGGCTACTGAACCCACGCCAGGGCCTGCGCCGCAGCCAGTGGTGGACGCGTCGGAGGATCCGTACCTAACGGACCGGCCGTTCGTATGCCATACGAATGGCTGTAACAAACGGTACACGACTCGGGACGCGTTGAAGACACACAAGTCGTCGGGCCGTCACTTGACTCAACGCCACTATCGGTGCGGTGTTTGCGGCAAAACTTTCTTCAATAAACACGGTCTGTCCAATCACAAGCGACAGCTGCACTCGGGAAAGGCTAGGCCAGTGGCCGCGGCCTCAGTGGCCACCGTCGACGAGAACATCGCGTGCACCGAATGCCGCAAACGGTTCCGCAGTGTCCAGTCGTTGCTGAAACACGTGCGCACTGTTCACGTGGCCCTCGAGTTCGGCTGCGAGTCGTGCGACTTCAAGACACACGTCAAGTATGAGCTCAATCGCCACCGACGGCTCAGCCATCCGGAGCTCAACGCCAGCGGCGTCACAGCCGAACCGTTTAGATGTCTAGTCAACGGCTGTCCGATGGTGTTCGCCGCCGAACCCGAGCTGATCCAGCATAAGAAGGACACCCATTGGCGTACGGATGTGGCGGCCGGCGATGCGGAACAGTTCGCCTGCGATTGGCCGCAGTGTACGCGACGGTTCGTGTCCGTCGAGAAGCTCGACAAACATAAACGACTCCATAGTTTGGGTAAAATCAGTACCGAAAGAATGCCCGCAAAGCGGCCGTCTATTGCGGTCGACACTAGTCCTCAAGTTTGTGAGTATTGGTGTTAATGAGTGATTGTTTTAGTGTTTTTCTCATTGTTTTGTCTGTTTTTTCAGTTGATTCCTATGAAGATATGTTTGGAGACTCGGCTGAAGACACCGATGATGTGATGATCGAAGAGATACCGCAAGATATGGACGAAGTATTGACCGAAGAGATCGATAGTTCGGACGACGAGTTGGAGGTTGTGTTCGAGTCGTTGGCCGACAAGTAATCCATTATCACTCGCGAAACAGAGGCCACTATTTTATAAGCATTTGATATACACTTGTTTTTTGGTCACAAAAAAGTTGTCACAGAAATAATTATATCTTTAAATACACTTATATTTTGACTAACATTTAAAATATTTACCATAATTTAAATTTTTTTAGTCCCCCCTCTGCCCCACATTCCGCCCCTTTTTTATACTCTTAATTATCAAGACTTAATATATTTGATTATTTTTTGCAATAATTATTTTAATTTCGTATTTATTTTGTTAGGCAATAATTAGTTCAAATTACAATTAGACTGTCATTAATCGTGATAAATATTATGTAATGTTTTGTGAATTATTTAATTAAATTATTAAATGTTATCAAAGATGTCAAATTAATAATAAATATAATAATTACAGTAATAACTATTACTGTAATTTGAAATTATATACTCAATTGTGTTTAAAACAAATAAAATGCATAGCAATTGAA